GAAATAGTTCCAATTGTGTTAATTCTTAGATACGATACGTCAATTAGGGAAAACCAGTTTTTAAAAGGGCTGACAGATACATTTAGAATTGTTCTCGCCTGGTACAACTTTTCCGACTTGGTATTGTCTCCAGTTCATGTCTGGGACTTTCAACATTGTGAGTCTACCATTTACTATTTGACATTTAGTAAATAGACAACGCTATTTTATATTTTTTGAATATTTGCTACTTTACTCATGTTTTACATTATCGTCTACAGAGACAAAAAAGTATGACTTTCTGTAGATGTGAACAGTTTTGTGGCCGCAAATGCCACTTATCAACGCCGAAACCAAGTACGTCACGAGACGCGTGAAAGCGTCACTATGGATACGTTGCGCATGCGTTAATTTGTATCATCTGCACCCAGTCGGCGAGTTAATTTCCAACAACAAATAGTTTCAAACACGGTACGACTGGCAGTCATAAAACGTAAATGGTCACAGGTTTCTTAACATTCTCCACTTGATCTCCATAGCCCAAGGGTGTTGCATTTCAGTGTGGTAACTCGAGTGAAAAATTGTACCACATAAATAATGTTAGAACGTGCAACACAAAACGCCTCGATGTTCCCGGGCCCAATGACTTTTAGACGATTCATTAGAGTCCCTATAACGTCATATCTTGTAATGCTAGCACATTTGTTGTATTGTATTGCAGTCCCTTTGACTGAAGAAAACATGTATTTCAAAGCGTTGGTAAATGGCATCAATGTGACTTTTGTGTGCATTCTTTTTGCGAGTCTGGTTGCTGGCACGCATCCAAAATACCTTTTTTTTTTTGCGAAACATTAGTATACACATCGTCTCATCGTGTTTTACAAGTACTTATAAACAAACACAATGCGTTGTTATAAAGTACGTAGTTGCGCTTGCCTTTCCCATATGTGCGAAGTGTGACACGCCTAAGTTGACTTAGTGTTATATCTATCACATGACATATCCTTATTTGGCATTCTGTCATCTTGTTTCAGGAATTAGCGAAGCAATCGCCTTCAGTATTTGCAAGACACAGAAGAAAAGAATGGAAGGTGGGTCACGTGACGGCACTTAACAATCGTGAAACTGTTAATACATAAATTGGAACCTTGAACGAATGCTAATGAACAAAAAATGTGATTAAAATATGAAATATTATTGGTTATTGTTGACAGGTGAAGCATCTGTTCCAATATGCAATACGTATGTCGTTATTTACGGCGAAATTCATGGCTGCAGCAAAGAAGTAAGAATTGTCTTTATCAATACAATCAGTTTGAAGGGTTGCCATCCCCGGCGTTGATATATTCAAAGTGGCAGATCTCGCAATAATAGTCGAAATACAACGCGCAGATCACGGCGATTGTGGCGCTTACATTGAGGCCACTAGAGAAAACTCTTTATCCATCTATGAATACACGCACATATTTGGAGTGAAAATTTGATCGGCAGAGGTCGCTCTCGCGCCGTGCAGTACAATCCACGGAGTAACAAGTCAAACTTCAGCCACAACATTTATTGCACATTAAACCACACAACGACAGGACTTTGAAGTACTGAACCAATGCATACAATGTGTACGTATGCTAGTATTAAACACACCCACGCTTCAAGCTATGGTGTCAACATTGGCACTCATTTCATGCTACTGGTTGGGGTGCACGCATTGAAATCAATTAAGGTCAAAGGTCAATCATGTATACAGCTAAACCGTTTTATTTTCGACGCTACAGATACATACAGACTAAAAAGAAAGCTGGCAAGAACGATGCACCAATCAAGTCTGATGAAATCGAAGACGAATCGGGTATGGGTTTCAACGCAACATTTAGTAAGAATTCGCCAAGTAAAAGCAGTGTAAGTAATTACAAATGTTGCAAATAAATATTATTTTTTTTAATTTTTAATTTTTTTTTTCTGAATTTTATTTGTGATTATATATCTTAGATCCACTTAGATTTGCAGCTGTATTTAACCACACAACCAGAGAACCGAGATCCTGAACACGTGAGAAGGGTAAGTTTAATATTTTTGTATATTCAACGCTATAATTGCATCTGAATGTTGGCAGTAATTTACAATTTTTTTCCCGAATATATACATTAAAATATACCCGGTAGTACGAGCAGAACTAGAAGTAAACCACTTTCAAGAAATTTTAAAGTTTCCAAATGTACAAATTCATAAATAAGTACGGTACGTTTTGATTTGTTTGACTGATATTCTCAAAGTGTATTTAATTGAACGATATCTACTCGTTCCCGATGTTCCACTGTCAGTTATGTATGCAACTGAGGACGAAGCGCTTCCGTGGTTCAAATTGACCGCCGTTTGCTGCATTTTGATCTGTAGTCATCATTTATTAAAAACGATAAATTGTTAAAGATTTTAATACCTTCTAAACGACGGACGCAATAGTCGTTTTGAATTACGTTGATTCCATAATCCATCTACGCCCCTAGATGAGTATGTTTCATTATTATCGTACTTCAGGTTTCATGCCACAATTATAGTTTATATCAATTTGTACGAATATAATAATCCCTATTTTGAAAACAATTTTCTGCAAGGAGTGGCATATTTGTATCTCAAACTGTTCTGTTTAGAATAATTCAAGTAAGCAAGCCTTAGATTTGTGGGTTGAAATTTTAGCGAAAAACCAATTGGTTTCTGGGTGGACTGTTACATTTAGAGTGCGTAGTTTAACACTGCCGTTCGTGGTGAGATTAATCGTAGTGGGAGTCCAATAGTACGTCACGTATTTAGTGTGACGTCATCATACTATCTCCACACGTGACTCATAAAGTAACGCGTTATCTTCGTCTAGATAATATGGGTCCTACGGACCACCAAGGCGTTTACGATGTTCTCATCGGAGATGGAAGTGGAGCTGGCACGACGTGTTGGGTATGAACGGTACGACAACGGCCGTGTAATATCATATCAAGGGAAACCACCAGACAGGTTTTATTATATACTCTCTGGGAGAGGTAAGTTATAAATGACGTCATAGTATAATTAACATAATTTTTCATGTACCATTTATACGTACATTGTTATATATATTAAAGCGCGGTGGTCGTCGCGCAGCGCGTGTTCGAATTTTATGTAAATAAACAATGTATTTTACACGCGTTGTATACGTCGCTATGAGTCCCACATCGAACAAGACGCGGCGCGACGACTACCGCCCTTTAATTAGTAATTACGAATCATTTAGAAAGGACGATAATTTTGCACATTATCGTGATCAGTGCTGTATTTTTCTATCACTGCAGTTAATATGCTGAGACAATACAAGTTACAGACCGGTGAGGTCACAAAGTCCATGGGATTTCTAACCAAAGGGAAAACGACAGACGTAAGTTAATTACTGGTCATGTGACCGCAAATAGCCAATTGAAAATCGTAATGCCTTTTCACGCTCTATCTTAGAGTACGGTAGCGCTCCAGGGCAGAAACAATGGCGCTGTATACTAGTATACCCATTCCACGTATTATTTTCGAGTTTTTCTTTATTTTTACAAATAACTGGCCCAGAACTACTATTGTGTGGCATATAGCTGTTACTCTGAGTGACGCTGAGTGCTACGAAGATACCGATGAGGTACAAAATGGCGTCCCCAGTGATGTTAGGAGCGTCATGAAATATTGGTGAATTATCCGTAACTCTACAGTTTAGTATTTACCATGCAGATCACCTCATTAATATGCACTTCATAACATAACTAACATAAACTAAGTTGGGGTGGTATGGTATATGTTTCAATGTCGGTGATATTCTTTCTTTTTAGACGGAGGAAATGGAAAAACAGTGGAGGCGGGAATCTAATCTGGTGTGCAAGGGTTCGGTGGAGGTTTTACTTATAGCGAAAAAGGTGAGCTCAAAGGTCACGTGTGTAATTCATGACGTCACTTGTCGTTCTTAGTGAATCATCGATTACATTTGGAACAAAGAATCGGGCTGGCGAGTAGAAAACTACATACCGAAACTCCGGTTCGTGTCACGCACGCAGTACGTTTTTACTATAATTTGACGTAGTCTTTACCTTGCCGTGTATTCGGTGTTATTTGCTTACTTTACTTCCTATGTCAACAGCAACTATGAGTTTAAAAATTATTTCTCAGTACTTATATACCGAAACTTTAATTTATATCCATATAACTGCCAGAAATAATCTTTACACTTATTAATAATTAAATTTGTAAACTTCGCTTGAATTTTTTTTTTTTTTTTTTTTTTTTTTTTTTTGCAGGACTATTTCTTTTTACAAAACACAGATGCAGGCCCGCCCATAGATTTTCTACGGTAAGGATAAATGAGATTGTGATGTGGCGGGTCCAATTCCCGCGCGTGCGCAGGTGACGACCCTCTTGCTTTATTAAATGTCTATATTTCATTTGAAAAATAAATGTGTGCATGTTTAAAACGTAATGTTTGGAAATAGGTAAACATAAAACGTTGAAATAAACACGTTGATATGGCCGTGAACGGTAATATTCGCTCCACGTGACAATCAAAACATCGGCACCCCTGACGCTAAGATACACCCGACCTGCATTTGGTTTTTACTCAATTACATCTAACGACTGCTGTTGTGTTGGCAGCCAAAACAACGTTTTTTTATGTCAAATAAATCACATTCTATAATTTCAACCTAGATGAAATATCAAACAAAAATGTATTTAAAAAAGTGGTCGTCGCGCCGCGGCGTATTTGACATGGGTCCCACGCGTCGTATTGCTTACGAAAAGATCGAATTACCGCTGTGCGATGACCACTGTCTTTAGAACATGGCCAACAATCAACAAAGTAGACCGCATTGCGTATTTTATCGCATGGTGTAGAAATAATATCGTAACACACTTTTATTTCAATGTTTATGATATCAACAGGAACGTTGACTTGTTTCGTGAATTTCCATGCGAACAATTCCTCAACCATCCAGAGGCCATTGAATTCAAGTATTACGGGTGAGTGACGTCATGCTATTTGTTGTTGTTGTTGTTGTTGTTTTTGTAAACACACCACTTGATAAGCCACGAGAGTTTAATACTAATGGTTTAATGATATCCATATTTGAAGTCACTGATCAAATGTTTCAGTAATGTTTTTTAAATTGTTGTGACTTGTAGATGCGTCTTGTTTGAAGCGTGGCCTACTACAACATCTTAAAAGTTGTGGTGATGGTGCAGTGTGTTCCAATAAAGAATTCTCTTCCTGCTGTGTCATTTAAACGTCTGTATTCAGTGTATATATTGTTACAAAGCCTTGATATAATAACACACATTAGAAAGAATTATTTAGTCATGCAATTTTGAATTTGGATTTGAACAATATGTTTAATTTTTTTTTTTTTAGAAAAAAGGCCTTCCAAGTTTGGCGTTCGTAAAGTTGAATATTAATCATGCCCACCGACTGTGGTTAATATCAGTATACTTGAACATTCCGTTAACAGTTATCGTTTCCTTGTTACCAGATGACAGATACTGATATCAAGCTACACCACGCCCATCTCTCAATGTCATCTTCATATATTGATTTTACAGTTGTTCGGCACTTAAAGTAAAACTAACACTACTCAAACTTGAGGGCTTACTAACAAAGGATAAGTTCTTTGCGTCTTGAGTTTTTACTAATCGATTTTACCCTTTCCTAGCTTGGTGTCAACCCATGTGCATGAACTTGTCAACGACGGACGCCCCTTACTATATTATACCACGTGATAAGCCTACTTATGTTTGTGTTTATTTTACAGCCCAAACAAACTGGTGGTTAAGGATACCAACACACGCAACTGGATATTCATCGTCAAATCGGTGAGAAATCGATATTACTCCGATCAAACGTCGCAATAACTGCAGCAAATTCCCAATTTTGAATTCAGATGTCGCGGTAATAGCATCAGAATATATTTTAAGTAATCTACTATACATCAAAGGGCAAATAAAAATTATTCTGTTGTGAGGGGTGAGCGTATCTCCGATTGGATATCAAAACCGTCCACTTAAATGTAAAATGATGTAATCAACAACAAAATGAAAAAAAAAACACACAATCTGCATATACGTCCAATTGAGCAAAATATCATGATTCCCAATTGTGGTCGTAGCAAAAAATAACATTACGCCGCGCTACAGTGAAAATTTACGATTTTCACAAAATCAGAAGTTATCATTTCATGGGGAGCGTGAGGGGGTATGTTACACGTGGGATAACAAGTCTGCAATATATCTCACAGGGCCGGTGTAAATGCGTTCGACGGCAAGACGTGGTGGATGTCAGCCAAGATAAGCGACTCAGCAGCAAACAGCGATTAGAGCAGCTCGGATGCGCTAAAGGATACAGCCATGCAGATGGTAAGAAGGCGTATAGCGCCCTCCTACGTGGCGGATCGAAGTGTGAAAAAAAAAGAACACAAATTCGTTGTAAACTTACATCAGATCAGAGATGTCGTAGGTAGCGATGTCCCAATAATGTGAAGATCATATCAATATTATTAATAGTTTGATATTAATTTGTTTATAATTTCAGCAATGATGCAAATGAAGTTGAAAAGACTAGTTGAAAGTGGTCAGAAGAATTTCTCGTTACCACAGGTCAGTTACTCAGAATAGACGTCATCGTTACCACACTGCTAAATGCAAATTGTGCATAATTAAAACGCGATAATATGTCGTGGTTTTGACCCACTCCCGATTTATTGGGTTTGTTTTGAACTTAACCCCGTAACTTTGGAAATGTACCAAATATTGCAGGTGCAGTCAACGGAGCTGTTCGTGAAAAAATGTGTTCGCAAGGGATTTTTAGCGGGCAGGCAAAATAAAACATCTTCAGTGGAAGGGCATTAAAAATAGGGTTTTTCAGAGGGGAATTCCAGTAGGAGAAGATTTTGTATTCAGAGGGCAGGCAAGTTCCATTTTTAGATTGAGTGGGTAAGGGCAAAATGCAGAATTTTCCGCGGGCATCAACAACCAAATTGCCAAAGGGGAGGAATGTTTAGACTGGCCAAAAGGAAGTAGTCCAATGGCGCAAACTGCATGATAATATCCGCCCCAGGCAGACTGTGCCGTTTCATTTGTGGCACTTAGCACGTGATCAATTTGACTTAACCATTATATTACCATTGAATTCGCCTGCTATAAAAAAAAAAAAACGTTAAATTTAATTCACATGGGTTTAAGGATTGGAGCTGGTGACCAATCGTGACTTTAACTTCTTCTCTGGGAAATGATAGGGAGAAGGTAGCAGAAACTGTTGAGAGGGGAGAATTAAGACAGTATGAACTGGTGGGAGATACAACTGCGCGTCCGGAGGGCAGGCAAAAAAGAAAATGAGCGGGG